TTCAAAAATCCAAGATGCGTGCTCGTCAAATTATGTTTTGGAAAAAAATGTCACATGATATTCAGGAATATATTGAACATTGTGAAATTTGTCAATTAAATAGACCAAATAATAAAAAAGAAACATTAGTTCCACATGAAACACCAGATAGACCTTGGCAATATCTTTATTCAGATTTTTTAGAATATAATTCAAAATATTATCTATTGATTGTAGATTCATATTCTCATTGGTTGGAAGTTTTTCAAGTAAAAGACAAAACCGCCAATACAGTAATAAAACATTGTAAAGAACTATTTTCTAGATTTGGTGTTCCAGATATATTCTATGCAGACAACAATCCTTATAATAGCCTTGTATTCAAAGAATTCTCTAAATTATGGAATTTTAAAGTAGAATTTTCTAGTCCGCATCACCACCAATCTAATGGACTTGCAGAAAAATACGTAGATATCACAAAAATAATGTTATCTAAAATGAAATCATCTGATAAGTTACCAAACTATTTATTAGAGTATAGAAATACACCTTTACCAAATATTGGTTATTCACCATCTCAATTACTTTTGAATAGAATGGTCAAAGCTAAATTACCCATAGCTGTTGAAAATCTATTACCAAAAATTGTTGAAAATGAACATGTTAAAGATATTTTGAAGGAAAAATGTGAAAAGATAAAAAAACATTATGACAAGAGTTCTAGAGATTTACCAACTTTAGAAAAAAATGAAAAAATTCTCTTTCAGAAAAATAATAAATGGGAAAAAGGTTATATACTAGACAAATATAATGACCGATCTTATATCGTTAGAGATATAGATGGAAAAGAATTTAGAAGAAATAGAAAGATGATAAACAAGACCAAAATTCCATTTCCACTAACTGCAACAGAACCTTTCAATTTCATAGTATATGAAGACTTGACCACTAACTTTTCTGAAGTTTCTATTGAATGTGTCATTCAATCAGGATCACAAAATAATGATCAATCTGAAATTGAATCAGAAATTGTAGATTTGGGAGAAAATACTAGGTTGAATAGATCTGATATAGATGATGATCATAACAATATCAGTGGTCCCGAATTAGTTCATGAAAATACTGAAAATTCCGATCATGAGAGTGAAAGTTTTGTTAAGGACATGATAACTGATTATATCAATGAACTGATAAATATTGTTGTAACTCGACGAAGTTCTCGTATTTCGAAACCACCTAAATATTTGGAGGAGTATGTTGGATATTGATTTTTCAATAAAAAAAAAAAAAAAAAAAAAAAAAAAAAAAAAGCGTGTTGTGTAGGTCATCATTATTAAGTATTATTGACCTGCATATGTATTTATTTATATCCTTGTTTATATATCACACTGTATAGACTATAGATCTCTAGTTGATAGTTGATTATTATATGAATGTTTGGCCAGTAACATAGAGACGAGATTGTTTAAAAAACTGATTTAAAATGCTAATAAAGATAAAATGTTATAAAAACATTTAAAAAGTGTTTATTTATAAAATAATAACATAAAACACACACTATAATGGAATAAGTTTTTTCAATCATCTCCCATCATCCTTAAGGGAAATCAAAGATCATAATCTTTTTAAAAGATGTCTCAAAATTTTTTTAGTTGAGAAGTGTGTGTATGACATACTTACTGATTTTATGTGCTAATGTGTTTTTTCTGTGACGGGAAAAAAGTTTGGCATTTCATCTCTGTTGGCAGGTTATAAAATGTCACTTTTCATAAATTACTTTTTTCCCGTGGGAAAAAAGTGAGTACTTTTTTCCTGGATATATATCACATATATATACTCTGTTAATGGCTTTTGTTGTGCTATAGTTCTGAAAAATGAGTCAATAATACCGTCTCCGAGAAAGAACTGCAAGTCCTTTTATCTTCCATTCGACTTCGCGGTTTCCTATATAACTAAACAACTACTGAACTCGCAATTTTTCAAAATCAAATCACAGAATTGAACTGACAGAAGTGACATCAGATATTTGATTACTTCAAAAGAATGATGAAGATGCCTATAAAACGCAGATGTCTCTACTGTTAAAAACTTGAAATTTCATGTCGATAATTTTCAGATTTCGAGATAATGTAATATCTTCCCAATATTGATCCGTCCTTCCTTCTGTCACAGAAAAAAATACTGTATTATACACGGGAAAAATATTAGATTTTAGCTCACGGTTTTATGTCTCCCTCCGCTACGCGTCGGGAGACAACACAACCTGGAGCTAAAATCTACAACTTTTTTCCCTTGTATAATAAATAACTATTTTTGTAATAATTATACTAGCAGTTTCATATTTTTTTGTTGTTTTACCCCTGACATGTCTTATATCAACTATATGAATGATCAAGGAAGATGAATAAATTTATTATTATTATTATTATTATCGTTAGTAATACCTGAATGTTCCAGGTATTTCATGAACTCGATGTTGATAGCTTTCTCCATGATCTTTGAAATAATAAATAGCAGTGCGATCGGTGTGTAGTTGCTAGGTAGGGTCTTTTTGCCTTTTCTAGAAACTGGTTGTACTCTTGCAATTTTCCAGTTGGACAGGAATATCCCCAATTTGTAAGAGTTGTTGAACAACTTGTATAGAACAGGTGTTGTGTAACTCGAGATCGAATTGGACCAGGTGCATGATGCGCATTCAGGAACTGTCAAATATTTTTTCTACAAGTGTGCGTGATTCACCCTATACCCGCACGAAATCTGGTTTGGGAAGTGTCATTTTCACGCACTAGTGCGGGAAAAACAATATAATATTATCGCGAAATATAGGTGGTTGGTGATGGAATATGAAAGTTTAAGCTTGTTTGCAGCAGTATCAAGTATGTTTTTCTACAAGTGTGTACAAGTGTCATTTTCCCACAAACAATGCGGGAAATTTTTACCCACACTAGATGCGGATATTTTTTTCCACACTAGTGCCGGAAAATCAATGAAGATATAAGTGGTCGGTGATGGAATATGAAAGTTTCAGCTTGTATGTTGCAGTATTAGGTATGTTTGTTCAAAAGCATCCATCAAATTGCACTATTTATTGTAAAAATGAAGATTTATTGAAAAATAAATATTGATTGTGGTAGAAATCCCCCTAGAGACTTGGATTGATTCAATGTGGAAAACAATTTGCGTTGTCATGCCAAACCACAAGAATTAGTTTGTAATTGAATGACAGACACAGCGTTACTGTCATTTTCGATTCAGTGAAATTGTCATAATGGATCATACATGTGATCAAAAACTTCCAGCTACAGATGCGATACAGATGCGTTATTGCCCACGAAGTCTCAAAAATGGTATGAGAAGCAATACGCGTTTTATCGAATAATGGTCCAACAATGAAATAATGAACCACCAAATGAAGAATACGTTTGTCTTAAACCTAGAGGCCAAACACCTTATGGGCATGCTAGCTTCCGCAATGAACCTAAAACATAATGCGTCAAACTGTAAATTCACAATAGCTATCACCAGAGATTATACACTCCCCATGACTATTGTTAGTTGTTCCTATTTGCATTGAACAAATCAATTCATTTCTTACGCTTGTAGAAAAAATATTGTGCCTAACTCAAAAGGAAATTCCGCATTCTCACTCTTGTTTCCGAACACCAAGTCACATTATTTCATGTCATGAATGACAGTTTGTATTCATTGCATTGCTCATGCGCATTTCCAGACAAGCAATTGGCTTCGTTTTTTGAATATATTTCTCAATACATTTTTGTTGCATACAAAAACAATGCCACCAGCTACTCAAATTCGATAATATTCCAATTCCAATGGGAGTCGAATTAACTTCGTTATTTATTACAACGAACAAATGGATGGTTAATGAAGAATTATATATCAATATTAATTTCAAATCATCCTCTTTTGTTGTACACTGGGTGTCCTTGAAAGCTCCTCACAAAAATATACCACAGAATCCTTCTAAAACAATACGATACAAGCATTACTTATTTGTGCTGATGACATCACGAAACAGCCTTTTCCTACGACCACCTATGAAAACAGCACAAAACTCATTGATTTGTCATTGAGAAAGTGACTCGTTTCACTATGACAACATATAACAGTTAGAAAGATCGAAAGTAAAACTCACATGGGTGGAAATATTCGAAAAGCGCACAGTAACAGGGTCTATAGATTATGATGTACACATGAATGATTATTATGCTGAATTATGGTAAGTTAACTTATGGTCAAGTTAATGGAAAGTTAGTGCCGATTTAACATGAGTTATTGTCGTTAATGTTGACGTAATGTTAAGTTGATGAAAAGTTGAAATCAAGTTAATTTCAATTGAAAGTTGAATTAATGTCAATGTATTGGCAATTCAGTGATTAATGTGAAGTTAATGTCAATTTGATATTGAGTTGATGTCAATTTGATTTTAAGGTAATGTCAAGTTAATTTTGAGTTAATGCTGATTTAATGTTAAGTTAATGTTGAATAATTGTTGAGTTGATGTTAAGTTGATGTTAAGTCAATCTTAGGTTAATTTCAGGTTAATGTTGAGTTGCTGTTGAGTTAATGTTGAGTTAATTACAAGTTAATGTTAAGAAACTGTTAAATTTATGTTAAGTTGATGTTAAGTGGATGTCAAGTTGATGTTAAGTTGATGTTGAGTTAATGTTAAGTTCATATTAAGTTAATGTTAAGTTAACGTTGAACTTATTATGTCATTTAATTGAAGTAAAATTAAATAATAATGATAATGATTTCACCTTCATGTGATCGAATATGATTGGAAACATGATCCATACTCTGGCCTTATAAACACTCCTGACATAATAATATAGATATTTGTGGTCGTAGGAAAAATAGTGTACAAAACTCGTTGGAAAGTGCATTTCCTGCGCTCGTTTCGTTTCCGCACTCGCGCGAAATATGTCACTTTCCACACTAGTTATGTAATATACTATTCCAAAAGAAAGGGCATCACCTATAAGGTCTATAATACTTACGACAAATCCATCTATTTGGACAACAAAGGATCTCTTCACCAGATACGTGATAGTAAGGAGCACAGTTGCTGGCAATAGCTTTGTAGTCATGTATTTGGGAAGCACAATTTCTCCTTATACAATCGGGAGCCTCCAAAGTGCCATTGAAGTGTTTGGAGCATATGCAATCGGAACAGGTATTCGGGGCGGAAAATCTAGCACCCTCGTAGTATATCTTGCCGTTTACTTCACATTGGCCTAAGGTTTTGTCACCAGAAGCTAGGAAAAAAATGAGAGTTAAAAAATGTTGAACAATATCCACTAGGGAAGTATTTTCTCAAGAAAGTGGAAAGTGGTGGTGGCCCAAATCGTAACACAGTGTATGTATATTTTTTTACTCACGACAAATTTGCCCATCAGAACAGCATGCACCGATTTTGTATCTCCAGTAACATCCAGGACCCAGTGGCTCTCCAATATTTTCACAACAGTCAGTGGCTGGGCATATGAAGAATCCCCTATAATGATGGTGTATTCAAACTCAAGTCGGAACTATTGCTAACTTGGTATAAGAAGTTGCAAAGTAGGTTAAATCGACAAACTAGTAGTAATTTGTCCGTTGATCACGATGATGGAATCGACACAAATATCTATAACATCGTGTTTACGAGTGATGTCAAAATGTTCATTTTTTCAATAGGACCTAGTACATAATTACAGAATACGAAATGTCCAATAAACTTTCGTCCTACATTCAAAAATGACTTAGTTATCGACGATTTATTTTTACTTCATGGTAAGGTAAAGCATCGAACGTAAGTAATACCTTGACAATTACTTTGACAAATTTGAAAAATCGTCGTTAGCTTAGTCTTCTTTGAATGTACGATGGAATATCATGGGACTATGGATTTTTTGTTCAGAATCGAATTTCCTATCGATGAAGAATATTGTATACTGGCGGTTCCATTTAAAAAAAATACTTTTTTTCTGTGACGGGAAAAAAGTTTGGCATTTCATCTCTGTTGGTAGGTTATAAAATGTCACTTTTCATAAATTACTTTTTTCCCGTGGGAAAAAAGTGAGTACTTTTTTCCCGGATATATATCACATATATATACTCTGTTGATGGCTTTTGTTGTGCTATATAGTTCCGAAAAATGAGTCAATAATACCGTCTCCGAGAAAGAACTGCAAGTCCTTTTATCTTCCATTTGACTTCGCGGTTTCGTCTATTACTAAACAACTACTGAATTCGCAATTTTTTAAAATCAAATCACAGAATTGAACTGACAGAAGTGACATCAGATATTTGATTACTTCAAAAGAATGATAAAGATGTCTATAAAACGCAGGTGTCCCTACTGTTAAAAACTTGAAATTTCACGTCGATACTTTTCAGATTTCGAAATAATGTAATATCTTCTCAATATTGATTCGTTCTTCCTTCTGTCACAGAAAAAAATAGTGTATTATACACGGGAAAAATATTAGATTTTAGCTCACGGTTTTTTGTCTCCCTCCGCTACGCGTCGGGAGACAACACAACCTGGAGCTAAAATCTACAACTTTTTTCCCTTGTATAATAAATAACTATTTGACATAACTCGCGTGAACGCGATGTTCGATTTTTTTTTCGATTTCATCATCATAATCAGCGAAAGAAAAACTACTAGTTTGTCCATCTGACTGACTTTCTAGCTTCAGTATTAACCATCAGGATAGCATTGTTAGCAATAATTCCGATGGGGGTCAATGGACGTCCAATAAGGCCTAAGGGGATGTAGAGGACATGGATCTAGTAGGTGAGGACAGTTTTTTGAGACTAGGGATATTTTCGGAGTAGAGAGGAAGTAAACATTCCAAGTCCCCGATATCATTCATATCTCAAGAACGGTACGGAACAACAAAAAACCGGATCTATTCAAAATTGTATAGCTGATAAAATTGTCAATCAGTAGGTTTTCCACCAGATCTTTCATAGTTATAGAGATATTCGCTGGAGAATATGGCCGATGGCCCCTCATCATAAGTATTACAGGGTGTTTCCTAAAATCATGACAAACCAGTTTTTTAATGGAACACCCTGTTTTCTATATTACTCCCGGAATCTGTTATTTTGCCATAATACATCAATTCAATTGAAAATATACATACGATAAAGCCACACAAAATAGGTTCTATGACCATTTTGTTCAACAGCAATACTTTTCAAAAAAAATCTCTTTTTTCTGTCGTACTTCAAAAAAAATCATTCGTATCAGTGATACGGGAATTATTTCTCTTAAAAACAGATAATATTGCATTCAAGCGTTTTATCTTATACAAATCGCATTCGGATATATTTATATCTTGTAAAAGAGCCCTCCTCCTTCGGATTCGGGCCTCGCCAAAATATATGAAAATATACTCTTTCAATTTTTAGATAACACGCTTTCTTGTAAAGTTATCGGTAATTTTTATTATAACCGCGGAAAGAGCATATCTTCATGAAGTGTTGGCAAATTACAAGCCAACGCTGAAGACTTCCAACTTAAAACCCATCTGTTCCCAGCGAGCACAAACATCCCTGGGATGTTTTGGGATGTTTTGAAAATGTTGACATGAAGATGTTATCTTGAGACGTAATATGCACTGACCAAAGACAAAGAGGTCTTTGAAGGATATTGAAGTATTGTTTTTGTTCTTCTGTGGCATTTCTTTGTTTGCCTACTGAGATGTATCCCTGGGATGTTTTAGAAATGTAGGCATGAGGATGTTTTTTTGAGGCGTATAATATGCACTTCCCAAAGAGGTCTTAGAAGGATATTGAAAGTATTGTTTTTGTTCTTTTGTGCCCTTTCTTTGTTTGCCTCACCACAACGTCTCATGCTTACGTCACAATACGATGAATTCTGATTTGTTCTCGATTTTGTTCTTCTTGTTCGCAATTGGCATTCGCGTTTGCAGCGCGTCACGCTTACATCACGCTGCTAACGAACAGAAAGGAATTTGGTGAAGTTTATTGTGTTAGAAGACTTATTTAGTTTGTATTAATGACCATCAGATGCAAGATGTGTGCCTCAGTGTAATCAATATATTATAAAAGTACGAATTTATCAATACACAGCTTCTCTGCAGTTGCAAAATTATGCATTGTGGAGAACATTTCAAAAATTGGGAAACCTATTTCCAATTATATGCCTGTGTGTAGTAATCACTACTCAGAAACCGATTAAGAAGGTAATTTCATATCAAGAAAATATTTTTATGTTCAATCTATTGTTAATGCATTTTTTCATGGGAAATGGAATCTTAATGCAAAAGTTCATTTTGACAAAAGGCTTCAGAAAAGTACCTCAAAAATGGTTTTTTTACAGCGATTTAATGTGCGCAAGACGCGTTGAAAATGTTTTGTTGTGTCCATGAAAAGGCTTTGAAAAGAACTAGGGAGAAGGTAGTTTTGTGACATATCAAGGACATCTCGATAATTGCCGCCTGCGGCGGACATTGGCTGTTCTATAATAGTTCTATTCATGTGTGAACAGAACATCGCAGTGAAGGTTCAATGTCTCGAAATCTCGTACTTTTAACATCTCTGAGATGTTTTTGTGCTCGCTGGGTTGGGACAAACGTTAGGGATAGGGCTTCGCGAGACAAGACTAAGACCAAGACTGATCAGTCTCTCTTTTTCTTTTCTCACCTACCTCGAATTACAGTAGCAATAACTCTCGCATGTGGTATAGTTATGTTCATTACCAATTAGCTGACTCATTGGTATGCTTCTGCCTCTGAAGTTGCAAGTGTGTTTCTTCCTCTCGAAGTTGCAATCATATCTGATGGGACAATCATGACCTTCCTGCATCACAGGTCGGCAGCCTATATCTTCATATACCAACGTACCAAGTGTGTCACAATTTGTTGCAGCTTGAAATGTATAATATCCTTATAAATTCACTTGATCCGAGAGATGAACTGGAAGATTTCTTTTCTGTTTGATGTTAGTTATATTATAGAGACAGATGGTGCTATCAATTATGTCTAATATTTTGTGATTGTAAAAACCCCACAAACTATGCAAATCCTAATTCCAAAACATTTTCAGAAACACATGTTCTTCAAATACAGCAGAATCTTCAAGTGGATTACTAGCACCAGAGATTATACACTCCCCAGCACTTTAATCTAAGAACTAACTTAGCATGTCCATTTATTGAAGAAGCTTCACTGCGTTAACGATGTATGTCGTCTTTTTGAGAATTTAGTAGAAATATTAACATTTTTCTGCAATCTAATCAAAAATCATTCATTTTTGTCCCAAAATTAGTTGAAGTTGTCGTTTCTCTTACTGATCCAATAAAATTATCAGTATTTAGTTTGCTGGGAACACTTTTAGTGTCTTAAAGCTTAAGTCGAAGTTTCAATCCTAGGAACTGAAAGTGTGTCAGATGACAGCTGATATGATAGCTGCTTTGACACTGACATGCTCGAGTGAGTCAAAATCAATTATCTAGATTGCAGAAAAATAGCATGTTTCATTCGGATCAAAAGTGATTTTGTTTGACTCACAAACGCAAGTATCGCTTGTCAAACAAAGTGTCACATTTGATCCTAATAAAATAATGTACTATTTCTAGAATTACTAACGGAAATAATGATTGTCATTGGTTACTTACCTTCCACCTCATACAGTATTACTAAAGCTATAAGGATTGAAATATAGTTTTCCATTTTTGTGTTCCTTATTACAATAACAATATCTCAATACCAATCAATTTCAGTAGCAATATGCTCACTTTGATGTCTATATGACTTCATTTCTTCTATCGTGTATGTTTAAATATGATTAATAACAATTAATTGATAACCAGTGAATTTAAAACAACTTTCGACTGAGATATCAGAACTCATCGTGGTTCAAGGTTATCCCGAAATGACCAATGTGTGAAATAAACATATACATACTACATGCAGTAGCACATTCATTTTGGAAAGCAAACCTATGACCATTCTCGACCAGAATGTTTGATATTATACAATATAATATGTCCCAAAACAGACCAAAAAATCTCTGGTAGAAGTCCATGTTTGCTCAAAGTGGAGTGGAATTTTTAAAGGAGGAAGGAAAGCTCAAAGTCATCTCCACAACTTTAATATGAAGTGTTTATTCAACGGGACATGTTTCGAACTTATAAAAGTCCATCTTCAGCCGTATTTAAGAAATTACTAAAAGTAAAGACATGTGATAATATACAAAATGTTATAAAAAATTGTTTTTTGACTTACATGGAGGTGAAACATTGTTTGTTTTAACCAAAAAAGTTTGATAAAAAGTAGGGGGGCATCAAAACAGATAAACAGATAGACAGACAATCGGGTCTCATCAGGGCCTACTCTATCTAACCTGGAGTAAGCCCTAGTCTCATATGTTGTCCTCTCATAAACCCATACACTCAAGTTGACGACTGACTATGTTTGTTTTGAACCTAGTTATTCACATGATACAATAATGATTTTTTCTTGGTTAAAACCAATATTTTCTCAATATATAATTCCTAACATTTGTGCGATAGCTATCTGAAGTTGCAGTAGTATAGTGCGTAATATGGGGAAGTTGCCAGGGAACAGTTAAAACACAAAAAAGATTTAACATAACAAAGAAGGCGTAAAACAACGACTCACACTTGAGTAAAATTTTCGTTTACTTCAAGGCGTGAAGTGTGTTAGATCTGCCAATGTAGCTTTCGTCATTTTATGAACTAGGTACCTACTAGTTGCTACTAACTCATAAAGACATAGCCACCACTATAATATAATCGATCCAATTTCACTGTTCAGATGCGAGATTCGCAGGAATGTCACTCGAATCTAGTAAGTATTCATCAATAACGACTTGTCATGTGCTGTCATGGTCATGGCTACCTGATAATTTCAATTAGAAATGAAAAAAGTGCTTCCATAGTGACAATAGGTCCATATTTGGGTTTCACATCACTATAATGATTGAAATATATTGCCAGTGGTGAAATACACCTTGGTGGTAAGGAATACTTATAATTACCACGGGACATTGAAATCTAGATCCCTGAGTTAAAATGATGCTATATCCTTCACTATCCTGGTATATAAATAACTACATATGAAATTTATATAAAAACTATTCGTGATTGACTTCACAATCAGGTACTTGATGGAAATCCATAGTAATTGTTAGAACTTTAAGAACGACAAGACGTCCACAGAAACTCCCAAAATCACGACCCGCTCCGTCAAGACCAAGCGATGAGAAGCTTCTATTCGCAAAAGGTCGGAACTCAGGTCGGAAAGAAATTTTGTAGGATGGTAGTGATACTCTGGAATAATAATCATTTCATTAAAAGAAATTGTGATCTTGAATATGGCCAGGTGAATGTTCACTCAAAAAACCATAAAAGTTCTCTTGCTATAAGATTGTCAGAATATCTTACTGGAAAGAAATAAGTATTTGTCTCAGGAATGAAACCTTCAGGTACCTAATATAATATACTTTTCCCAAGTACATGATTTCTCGCAATTTATTGGGTGAAAAAACATATTCTATTTCATTGAATCCTCAGCTACTCAGCCGAAGATTCCAGATTATTCTTTGGAGATTATCATGCATTAGTGTCAATAAGGGGTTTTTCCCCCAAGAATAAGAATCTTGACAAGGTTATAGTGGCACTTGATTCAAGATTCCTGGAGTTTATTTAAGTTTCAAGATCCTTCTTTTGAGGATTGTTTTACTTTATCTTAAGTATGCCACCCTCGATATGAGTGACCAAGTGTGGCTGATGAGAAAATGAAGTAAGGTTGCATTTAAAAAAAGTCAAAATTCTGCCAAGTATCGGACCTACCTGGAAGTTATATCCTGTGCAGCCGGCCGTCTCCTTAGCAGTCCCGGGGGTTGCAACCACCCATTCTTCTGAGCTAGTGGACTGTATGGTTTTGGTTGGAGACACTGATATTTGGTTCGAATTTCCCGAACAATCGATGTAATTGCGAACCGTCAAATTGATGAGAGAGAGAGAGAGAGAGAGAGAGAGAGAGAGAGAGAGAGAGAGAGAGAGAGAGAGAGAGAGAGAGAGAGAGATTTTACTATACGAGGGAGGATGAATATGATGCAGAATGAGAGTATTCTTTCATTAACTATTCTCAGTGCGAATGAATTGATATTTTAACCCTGAATGAAAATCGATATTCCAAGTGATTATGATAAACAAACCAAAAAAAAATAATGATGAAAAAAAAACAATATTCGTTTAACTTAAACTCTAAATTAACGCAGGGCGTTAACACTGAGAGTGAGGGTTTCTGGACTTGAGGGCTCCTTTATTTGATTCAAGGTACTATCCCAAAAAGAATCTAAAGTTTCGTTTTTTTTTTTTTCGGAAAAATAATGGTTGATGTGGACAATGAAAACAACTGAATATATTATATACAAAATACACACAATATAACAATACACATAGATACTCAATCAATACTCGACATCCAACAAACGATAGAGGCCTCTGATGCTCACATTTTCATACCATGGTTCCTTTTTTTCAGTCGGATGATGTCGCCTATGGTACCTTCAATCATGTCATCAATCTGATCTTCTGTTGGAAATGGCAGGATATTTTCTATGATTTGGTCTTAAAACAAAAATGATTGATTTCAATTGGGAGTTTGATACAATTGAGTTTTACTATGTATATTCGTCATTCGCAACATGTAATTTCGGATTTATATTTGTAACAGTTTTCTATTATGAACGCAAGAGCATTGCTATTCACTGAAGTGAATGAAAAGCTGACGAAATAAATTTGATCTTGAAACAAGCTACCTGCTCTTGGATCAACTTATTCGTCGACTTATTCTACTGATTAAATGATGTTAAATCACCATGAATGTGAAGAAACAAGTTACCGTGGAAAGAGACGCCATCGAACGATTCCTTCATGCTTGATTTTTTTCTTCAACATATTTAATCTTGGTAACACTACAAGGAAATTCTTCCTATTCAATGAGAGTAGGTTATTCTTTAAACTTCATTGATTGATTTATTATTGAAATGCAATCAACTTGATGATATACTTACTCATTATAAGTTATACATACTTCAAACGTTTTCAACTTCCAGCGAGTGGGGCAGCTTGAGACATGAACTCCAGTAATGTTTCTAATTAGTGGAACCATCTTTCAAATTGATTATTGAAGATCCTCGAATACATACAATATCAGAAACAGCACAAAATATGAAGTAATGATACGCGAATCGCACTGACATGGACATTTACCCTACAGAGTACTGAGGCTCTACTGATGCTTCGTTTGCTACTCGAAGTGTCCTATCGAGGGCGCTGTGTATCGCTTGAGTTCTTCATAAGTTTCTTGGATATTCCACCAAGATTTATGATTCTTGTTTCAAGTAGCTAGAGCTAAATAATAGTAGGATGGGACAATGTTCCGGTGGCAAGAGGAGATTATCCCAATCGAAAGACATTTAATGAAAGATAAATTTCAGAAAATATCAAGAAGCATGGATTTTCCAGAACAAAGATATTTTTCTGCGAGCAAGATATTTACTCTTTGTATAAAAAAATGTATGAATGTAAGTTTGCGACATTGGTTGCCGCTCGAGGGGTGAGGGGATGAAAACTCTGCCCTGCGGCGCTTGGATAAAGATAGCATTGTAGGGGTATTGGGGTAAGTGCTATTGAAGAAAAGTCCAGATAAAATATCTACAAAACAAAATTGTGCACAACTTTGGTATCTGCATATTTTGGCTCTAACCAATAGTTTTCGTTCTACTGCGCGTCAATTTTCAATAAATTCAGAATTTAATCGCGGAGAAAGATGGAGATGGCCACCAAACCAGGTCAACCCAGCTCACCAACGGACAACTTGCCAATTCCCATTCAATCAGTGGTCAACTCATCAACGACCCAATTCATCAACGACCCAAATCCTCAACGCGCCAACTTCATCAAAAACCAACTTAGCAACGACCCAAATCATCAACGACCCATCTCATCTTTTATTCCATCAACACCTAACTCCAACCCAGATCATCAACGCACCCATATCATCAACACGCATTTTACCAACGATCCAAATCATCAACCGTCGGACTCATCAACGACCCGATTCATCAACGTACAAACTTTATCAACAACCAATTCATCAACGACACAACTCATCAGCGCACCCATTTCATCAACATTCAACTCATCAACGACCCAACTCACCAACGACTCAACTCACCAACTTTCTAACTCATCAACGACCCAACTCATCAACGAACCAACTCACCAACGACCCAACTTATCAACGACCCAACTCATCACCGACCTATTCCATCAACGACTCAAATTATCGATTACCCAACTCACCAACGACCCAACTCACCAACGACTCAACTCACCAACGTCCTAACTCATCAACGACCCAACTCATCAACGAACCAACTCACCAACGACTCAACTCATGAACGACCCAACTCACCAACGACCCAACTTATCAACGACCCAACTCATCACCGACCTATTTCATCAACGACTCAAATTATCGATTACCCAACTCACCAACGACCCAACTCACCAACGACAAAACTCATCAACGACTCAACTCATCCACGTCCCAACTCGTCTACGACCAACTTATCGACTGCCCAACTATAACGAAAAAAGGAACAAAGAATTATTATGGATGAAAGCAAAGAACGT